CGCTTCCCGGGACACGGCGCTCCCCGGAACCGCGCTCCTCGCGCTCCCCAGAGGTCTCAGAATTCCCCGCCGCTAGTGTTCGGTTCTTATTAATTTGTTGTACCGGGAATTAAAACAGTTGGCTTGCCAAGAGCACAGAGCTCTAAAACACACTCCACCCGCTTTGCATTTTCCAGGAGGCGGTAATTTAGATGAAAATTTATATACATAGATAATTAGGGATGGGATACCAAGTTGCTCCTGAAACTCGGACTGAATAAATCGTCTTTTCAATTTTCAGAGGGAAAACAGCACCACCACTCAGTAAAGGACTTCCCTTTTCCCCCCTGCTGATTTAAATTGAAAGTTGACATGTTTGTAATGTTCTTTTTTGACATGTTCTTTTTTAAAACTATAGAGAGTACAGCTGAGGCGTTATTGACGGTGGCATGTGTAACTCAGCACTGTATCTTAATATCTGTAGAGTGACAGATCATGGTGTTTTTCCTGCTCCCTAACAACACTTTTTTCAAATTTGTTTTATTAGAAAGTTCAGTATAATTTTGCTTTTGATTTTAATCGGACACATTGTCTACTCTCCACTTATTCCTGAATTCGTAATTGAGATTCAGTAATTTAATTCCTGAAAAAGGAATGTTTTGTTTTACTCTTTCGTGATAAATCGTATGCACGCTAGGATTTCTGATCGTGCTGCTTATCTGAATTTTCTGCCGTTGTCGGATTGCGCCCTCACTACGGTAAGGTTGTCAGCATGTTACTGACCGTGCATCCGAGAGCAGCCCCCGGATGAAATCGCGTAGATCTGTCACACCACTTTACCTGCAGAACTTGCTAAAATCGAGCTGGATAGGGTAGAGGCTGGTAGAGCCTCCTCCAATGGTGAAGAGATTTGCACCGTTTCTGCCTTCGCCTTTGCCGTGGGTGCACACTGCCCTCTGTGGCCGTCGTGGTGAAGCGTTGAGTGTTGCACCTTTCAGGAAAGGATTCTGATGATGGCAGAGCTACGGTGAAAACAATATAGTGTCTGGCTTTTCTTTCTTCAGTGTTAGTCAGCCTACGCTATTTTTACATGCTGGAGTATTTTTAAAGCTCAAGCTGAATTATTGTTGTTGTTGTTGCTGCTGTTGGTGGCGGCTTCCTAGAGAGAAAGCAAGCTATTTTTAAAGTCTTCTGTGGTATTAACTTATAAATGCCAAGAACTGGTCTGGAAAGATTCAAGAAATTGTTAACAGTAGTTGATTCTAATACAGAAATCTAGGGGATTGAAAGACAAGAATGAAGGGAAGACTGGTTTCACTGCACACCCATTTGTATCACTTGATTTTTTTTTTAACCAAACACATGTATAACCTATTTAAAAATCAATATTTTAATTTTTAAAAATTGCCTTTTAAAAAGATACTGGGCTTTCCCATTACTAACTACTCATTGTGTGCCCCAAGGCATGAAGAAGTTTTCCTTTTATCCTATAAAGTGAATTGCTTCAGCATCAAAGAGGTGCTTATCTGAAGCAGCTATTTAACATTTACATAATTGTAGACATTACCCACGGACGCCTTGTTTGGAATATTATGGTCAGTTTCTACTAAAATAAATCAACCATAATGAGTGTGTGAGATTTTAAGTAGAAAGTAATTTTAGTTCTTTAAGATGCCACTGATTATTCTTGTTTTACTTTCAGCCGTTAAGACAAAAGAATAACCTTACGAGGCTTTTAAACGTTTCCTGTGTTGTGGAAACTAAATAATTCACTTTTAACTGTTTGTGATCACTCTAGGCCTCACAGAATTTGAGTTAACCTGTCAAGGTTAACTAAGCATTATAGTCCCATGAAAATATTACATGACGATTATAAATCGATTTTTGTTCTTATTCTGCACACTTGCTTCAAGAGAATCTATTCAACTCAGCGATCTTTAAAGCTGTAGAAACTGGTTAAATTTGTGTTGTAACAGAGCAAAAATATTCCTTGGCACTGTATTTAAAAATCTTGTCTGAGACGGTACAAGTATTAACTCCTGTTTTTCATTCTTACATCTCACCCAAGAACGTAAACTAGTTATACAGAAATAAGTGTGGTACTGAAAAACTTGTCCTTTAATACTAAAGCCTTGTTAAAAATCAACTTTTTGACTTTTCCTTCCAGGGTTTGGGAAGAACTGTTTTAACACTGTTAATTGAAAACTCTTATTAAATAATGGTTTTGTTGTAGTAAATCCTCAACTGCAGTCTGGTTTATCTTTCATTTTGAAATTAAAATCACTGTTTAGGAAAAACCCTGCATGACAAAACAAGTTGAAATCAAAGCCACTTTCAGTCCTTTTTAGAAAAGATAGAAAAATGATAGACTATAAATAAAGTTCATATCTGAAATTTTAAAACGATAGACTACCTCCTTCTCTTGGAGTACCACCCATCCAGCATGATCTCCTATCATTTTTCAACTTACGCTTCTATAGAATAATTATTGATGCTTAGAAATACGTCTGCTTGAGGCACTGGAGATTCAAATTACTATGATCTTTGAATTGGAAAGGAGCATCTTAAGAGGTCTAATCCAGTGGTTTCCAAACTTCAAAGGAACTCTTGTGAGGAAGCACTAAAAAACAAAAGGACAACAGAAAAGAACAGAGTTGCTGTGATTGGTGGGAGGCCTTGCCCTCTCAATCACCTCCAACACCAGGGTGGCTCCAAGAACTGACACTTCAACGTGTTTGTTATATTGCTTCCAAAATTACAGGGTATAGTAATGTGAAAGTTCAATCCTTTCTAATGAAAATGACGTTAAGACATGTTGGTTTAAATATGCCTGGAGTAACATTGGAAATTACAGTACTAGAAGATCCCAAGTAGTCTTTCAAATATGACCTGATCATGTTAGAAGGTGATGGTAGTCACTGTGCAGTCAGGAGGACTGATGTGTAATTAAAATAGAGCTTACAAAAGTGCCATCTCAGATCAGCTCCACTAAGGAGGAGTTTGTCACATTCTGCAGGAAAGAGAAAGCACTTCTGCTACAGAGTTACTCTTTCTTACTAAAGTGATTGGCATGTGATTAGCATATGTAGGCTGGAGTAATCCCAAAGTTCACCATCCATCTTTGTTCTTAACTAGTAAAGTATGATTGAGTTTGATTAAATTTGGGTACTTCTTTTGTTCTTTGGAACATAGTTTATCAAAAACAAGTGACTGCCATGTCAAATAGTATGTGGACTCTAATTGAACTCTGTTCTGCTGTCATTATAGGAAATGGCAATGAGCAGAGAGACCAGGTAGGTGGTTCTAGCATCTTGTGTTGGATTTTAAAAGCCTTACGTTTACCACTAAGTTGCTTAACACAGGAAGACGTAGAAAGAGACACATTCAAGTACTAGCAAAGGTAAATTGAGCCACCTTGAAAATAACAGTGGTGGCAGGGTATCTCAGGAGGGTGGGGGGGAATCTCAATTCTTTTCCCATTCCCACATTTTAAATTTTTTTGTGCTTACATTTTAAAAAGCGAGGTCACATGTGTGGCTACTGTTTGTTCATCCAAAATGTATGCCTGTCAGTTACTGTGCCATGTGTTGCGGATACAAAGAAGATACGCTGGAGTCACGCTCAGTCACCCCCATGTGTTCATCGTGTCTG